CATTGTAATCATCATTCAAACTTTTTTCTCTTCAATTCTCAGGTCATTCGCAGAAACCCCAATGCAGCTGAAGAAAAGCGATGAATGAAAGAGACGTTTGAGCAGCCTGTTACACTTGTTAACAGCACCCCCTTCTCTGGTGTATCCCACAGACTATAAAAGAGGGCAGTCTTTCAATATCTTCACCCTAAGAGATCTCACAGCAACAGAAGCGCTACATTCTCTGCAAATGTGGCTTTCATAGCACATAGAATAATGATGCCCCTTGATGTCGACCTCTGTGCTAACAGTTCATTTAGCACCGTGATGCTAAATTTGGGTAATGCTGGGATGCCAGGTTCAAAAAAGCAATGCTGCTTGCACACTCCAGTGCAAAGTTCAGTTAGCACGCCTGTGCGTTGTCTAGCACTGTACTGGTGAATTATGCTATTGCCGCAATGCTAGCATTAGTTAGCACACTAACAATACTACGTTTACATTGTGCTTTACTGTAACAATTCACCAGGGTCCAAATCAACAGACCATGTTTTTAGCCTATAGATCACTGATGTTTTTTTTTTGTTTATCTGGTTGTACTGATTATTTATCCCATATTGTGGATGTGTTTGGCACTGTTGTCATGTAAATGGTTGTTTGTGTAAATGATTTTACTTTCAGATTTTACTATTCAAACACCTGTTTAAAAGTGTTATATCTTTCTGTTTTCATACATATACAGTCTATCTTCCTGCAGAGATTAGTCCCAACAGGATGATCTCCAGGAGTAGGACTGAGCAACGCTGACCTATACAAATGTTCTTATTCAGGCAGAGGAGTGTTTATGAACAAATTCTATCTTGGACTATAACAATGTGAAACTAACTTAAACTAGTCTGAGTGTCTGCATCACACAGTTCTATATTTGTTCATATTCACATTACCTCAAGCATCTTAATTAAGTACATTGCTACAAAGTACATTGCAATATTTATGTACTACTGTTTCTTACATACGCATTTCTTTAGCTGTTTGGATTTTATTTCACTTCTATTGCAGAGCTTTCTGCTTAGGAAGGATGTTAAAATCCCTGTTTTTTATTAATGTATATTGTTATTCCTCTTTGTGCATACAGTACAGTACAGTTCAGTGCTCAAACATTATAAATAATCATCTTTTAACCAGTTAAAAGAGATATACAGTAGTTTAAGTAGAGCTAAAGGCAAAGAGAATGACCAAATGCTGCTGGCAGAAATGATATCAGCTTGTTTATAGGAGAGCCTGTATGTCAAGCTTGAAAACATTGCACTGAATTGATAAAGTACTCTGTGAGTAGTATTATTACTGTTACTATTACTGTTATTTTTTTTGCTCTTTATTTTGGCTAGGTTATTCACATGTTCTGTTAAAGACATCACTGAAGAGTGAAAGTGGATGCACTTTTTTCGGTTCATGCTAAATAGGAGAAATATGATTTATATTTAATTGTTTTAATAGCTATATGTGAAAAGAAAAAAAAGCATGGTTTTATTTTTTTTATGTGAAATACAAAAAAAGACTTTGTTTTGTTCATACACAGCACTATTCAATTGTTTTAATAAAACTGGTTGAATTTTTTAACTGGGTACATCTGTATATGCTGTCTTTCTGGATGTGTAAAATTTAATTATGTTTTATCGGTCTCCTTTAGGGAATTGGATGTTGCAACCCACTGGATATATTTTAGGCATTAGAGAATGCTGATCTTAAACCTCTGAGGATTCACGTTCAAATGATTGACGTTCAGAGCGTACATTATACTTCGATCAATAAGTAACTTTACTTTGTGTTTTAGGTATCTGGACTGACTGCTGTAAAATACAACTATTTTACATAAAGAAAAATACCATGGGCTTTTGAGGTGTTTGAATGTCAGTGTCCACAAAACAGAACAGAAGCAGCATACGTTAAAGCAGTTTCAGGCCAGCAATCTCACCAGACTGCAGCAGCATACGTGACAGCTAGGGCTGGGAAGCTGCACACATTTAAATTCACGAAAATAAACTGAAAGAAAACGAGTCGGTACTGATCATATGAATTTTAGGATGCAGCCTTCCGTTTGAGAAGCACTATTCACCTCCCTCATGCTCGCTAAAAGCTGTAATTACGAGAGTTGTGAGATAAAATATTATTTTCATTTTTATATTTTTATTACAATTCGCCTACCTCGTGCTCGCTAAAAGTGATTAGAAGTCTGATTAGTTTCCTGATTCGGATAGATAGTTTTAATGAACCAGTTTAAAAAAAACGAGTCAGAGGTTATTTTAGGTGGAACGACAGAATAGATCATGACGTCATCGAGTGTCTTGATCTTATTACCATATAAAATACTATTTTTTAAAACATTTCTATCAGCCAATGATAATTATAAAAGAAAACGTGACGATCATAGATCAGTGGCCGAGAGCGCATCTGATTTGACAGATAAACCACGAGCTCTATCAGTTATTAATGTTCTGGTTATTTTGTTTCAGTGTACAGTTTGTTAATATTGGGCAAAGCATAGCATACAGTCAAAGTAAACTTCATCATTCAGCTGAACTGTGCACATTTATTTTAGACACTTCATGTCATGTTGAATTCATGTGATAAATGCATGTCCCT